GCATGTGCCTCTACTATGGGGACTCACAAATTTTAGAGTTAGGACCACAGATGATCAGGGTGCCGTGTCGTGGCTCTGTGGCTTACGTATGTATTTGCAAATGTGTGCTAACTAAACCCCTGTTATAAACGCATACTGTTAGACAGGTTAATTCGGTTGTTAGCAAGCTGGCTGGCAAGTTGTATCCCCCCCCAAGAACATTGTCATCTCTCCCCCTTTTTTTTCAAGATCATATCCCCCCCCCTTATGTATTATACATGGAGATCATATCCCCCCCTTATGTATTATACATGGTGATCATATCCCCCCCCCCCCTTATGTATTATACATGGATGATCATATCCCCATATCCCCAGCCCCTTATGTATTATACATCATATCCCCCCCTTATGTGATGGAGATCATATCCCCCCTTATGTATTATTACACATGGAGATCGTATATCCCCCCCCCTTATGTATTATACATGGAGATCGTATCCCCCCTTATGTATTATACATGGTGATCGTATCCCCCCCTTATGTATTATCCCCCCCTTATGTATTATACATGGTGATCGTATCCCCCCCTTATTATGTATCCCCCCTTATGTATTATACATGGAGATCGTATCCCCCCCTTATGTATTATACATGGTGATCGTATCCCCCCCTTATGTATTATACATGGTGATCGTATACCCCCCCTTATGTATTATTATACATGGAGATCGTATCCCCCCTTATGTATTATACATGGAGATCGTATATGTATTATACATAGTGATCGTATCCCCCCCTTATGTATTATACATGTATCCCCCCCTTATGATCATATCCCCCCCTTATGTATTATACATGGTGATCATATCCCCCCCTTATGTATTATACATGGAGATCATATCCCCCCCTTATGTATTACACATGGAGATCATATCCCCCCCTTATGTATTATACATGGAGATCATATCCCCCTTATGTATTATACATGGAGATCATATCCCCCCCTTATGTATTATACATGGAGATCATATCCCCCCCCCTTATGTATTATACATGGAGATCATATCCCCCCTTATGATCATATCCCCCCTTATGTATTATTATTATTATTATTATTACATACGAGTTTATATATCGCCCTCAGCCTTATGACAATATTACAACATGGACAGCGTCGATATCCCCCCTTACAATCTAGGAGGGAGGGGGTATACAGTAGGAATACATGAGGGAGGATCATATCCCCCCCTTATGGGTTTTAGCGCCTTATACATGGAGATCATATCCCCCCCTTATGTATTATACATGGAGATCATATCCCCCTCACCACATCCACCCCTCTGTCCAAGTATACCACATCCACTGCCACCCCTCTGTCCAAGGTTTAGCTCACCTCCTCATAAAAAGAAATCATATTTGTTTGACAACTTCTGTCTTTCATGAATCCATGCTGTCTGTGGCTTACAGTATTTTTTTCCAGCAAGAATTCCTCTATGTGTCTTTTATTAAACTCTCCAGTATATTCCCAACTACAGAAGTTACACTAACAGGTCTATAATTACTTTGGAAAGATTTTGACCCCTATTTAATATTGGCCCCACATTGGCCTTACACCAATTCAGTGGTACTATGCCAGTCATTAAAGAGTCCCTAAAAATGAGAAACAATGTCTGTGAGATGACAGAGCTGAATTCTTTAAGGCCCCGTGGGTGTATGCCATCCGGTCCAGGGCTTTATTCACCTTTATTCTGTCTAAATATTTCTGGATCATATCAAATGTGAGCCAATGTGGATCATCTGGAGCTGTGTCAGTACCACCCCCCCGTTATGGACAAGAGCTCCCCCACGCTCCTTTGTATACACAGAGCTGAAGAAGGGATTTCATACATTGTCTTCTCTTTGTCCCCAGTCACCCCCTCTAGATGGTTCTGTAAAGGGCCTACATGCTCGGACCGGACCTTTCTACTATTCATATATTGGAGGAATGTTTTGGGTTTGGTCCAGCTATCTTTTGCAATCTGTCGTTCGTTTTAATTTTTTGTGGCTTTTTTTTCCCCTTTTTTATCGTTATATTCTTTGTAACATTTAACTGATAATCGCGTTTCTTCATTTTCTTTATTGAATAAAAGCTCTTTTCTTATCTATAGCTTTTGTAACTGTGGCCGTAAGCCACATAGGTTTGATTTTTAGCTTTTTAAACTTGTTGCCCATGGGAATATATTTTGCAGTGTGGTCACATACAGTTTTTTTGAAGATCTCCCATTTCTGTGTTGTATTCATCAATGCCAATCTTCCCTCCCAGTCTAAGTCTTGGAAAGCAGTTCTCAGACTTGGAAAATTAGCTCTCTTAAAATTCAGCGTTTTTATTTTTTCCCGTATGTGCTTGCGGTTTACAGCTAACAATGAAATCATGTTATCGTCACTGCTACCCAGATGTTCTTTTACATGGACATTCGTAATAAGCTCTGCATGGTTGGAGATGACCAGGTCCAGCAGAGCATCATTCCTAGTTGGGGCCTCTATGAACTGTACCATAAAATTGTCCTGTAGTAGGTTTAAAAATATTTACCCTTTAACTGTTCCTGCAGTGCCATTACTCCAGTCAATTTCCGGGTAGTTAAAATCCCCCATTATTATCACTGTCCCAGCCCTTTCCATCTGTGCGAGGAGCTGAGTCTCCACCTCCTCATTAACACTGGGAGGCCTATAACAAACTCCAATGATGACCTTTGTAGTACACATCTCCATGTGCAGTTCCACCCGTAATACTTCAGCCTCATCACACTCTCCATCAACTAAGTCCTCTTTCACACTCGCTCTGAGATCACTTCTCACATAGAGACAGACACCACCACCTTTCCTATATACTCTGTCTCTCTCCAAAAGAGAACCTATCCAGGAATATGAATGGCCTAGTCATGCGAAGAATGAAGCCAAGGATTCAGCAATACGAATTAAATCCTAGTTCTCTTCATGCACCAAACCTTCCAACTCACCTATTTTGCTTGTCAGACTGCTGGCATTGGTGAACAAACACTTTTAATTCATTGACACCTTGTTCACACGTATTTTGCATATTTTTTATTTTGATACAAATGGTACCAATTCCTGTTTTTTTGTAACATGGGAACCTTCTTGTCATCTGCCATAGCCCTCCTCCTATCTTTCCCATTCCGCCCACCAATAAGTACTGACCCCGGTCTGATCTGTCTACCCCGTTATAATCGAATTCTCCCTCCCCCCTCGATCCTAGTTTAAATACTCCTCCAGCCTTCCCATAAACCTCTCCCCCAGCACAGCAGACCCCCTTCCATTTAGGTGCAGACCATCTCTAGCATATAGGTTGCACCCCAATGAAAAGTCAGCCCAGTGCTCTAGAAAACCAAATCCTTCCCTCTTACACCAGGTCTTTAGCTATGCATTGAGTTCTATAATCTCCCCATATTTCCTGAGTTGCGCATGGCACAGGTAATATTTCAGAGAATATCACCTTAGAGGTCCTTCCCTTCAACTTGCAGCGGTTGAGGCGATCCTAGTGACAAATTATTCTATCACTCCTGATTATAGAATCCCCCACTACCACCAGTTGTCTAGGCCTTCCTGCACTACCTTCACCACCCCTGCCAGATGGTTTTCCCTCCCAGCTGTTAGGGATAGCAGTGACATCCAGGGCTGCCACCCCTATGCTTGCCACCCTCACCCAACTTGGCAAATCTTTTTGGGTGCACAAACCCAGGGCCAGCCTTCCTTTTCTGTGAGCCCCTACCACTCCCTCTCATTACAGTAACCCATCTTCCTACCTGAGAATCCTGACTAGTCCCTCCGCCCTCCACATCAATCCCATTAGCTATCTGCTCAGGCAGCAGAAGACCCCTTTCAAGGTTGTTGGTTCTGCCCAGTGTTGAAACTTGCTCCTCCAGACCTCTAACTTGATATTCCAGAAGGGAAGAAGCTCACATCTGTCGCAGTGGTATCCATCCTGGAGCTGTTGCTCCATTGCTGAAACATGCGGCACACTGTGCACTGCACAAAACCTTCAACCCTCACTTCCTGTCTGTGCCTGACCTCACTTCCTTTCTTCCATAGAGACTTCCTGTCTCTGTATTTGTGTGATCAACACCTTGTGGAGTTCAGATGTCATGAGAAAATGATACCACTGTGTACAATGGCAGAAAGATTTATTAAAACCACTTGACCGACCTTCAGGAAAATTTACCTCCTTATTGACCAGGAAATTTTTGCTATTCAGCATTATACTCCTGTAACTGGCAATTGCTCGGTCATGTAACACCCAAATTAAAATTTATATAATTTTTTTTCACAGAGAGCTTTCTTTTGGTGGTATTTGGTTAGCACTGGGTTCTTTATTTTGTACTATATATAAATGAAAAAAGACCAACAATTCTGAAAACAAATATTTTCTACTTTCTATTATAAAAAAAAAAAAACATTTCTTCATAGATTTAAGTGAGACATTTACCGCAGACAAGACCTTTTCTGCCTCCGGAATAGATTTGGATCATGGGTGTGCTCTGCATTATTGGATTCATATTCCTATAAATTTATAACAAAAAATTTATTCTGCTATGTATCCTTGGTTGATGAGGCGGCACTGATGAGATGACACTGGTGGACATTGATGGGGAGGGACTGATGATGCTGCACTGATAGGCAGCTATGATGGGTACTAAGATGTAGCACTGAAGGGCTAAAACAAATTGTCAATAGGTACAAATATTCAGCCCTTCTAGATATGTTTCTGATGGACAAAACTCGATGAATCAGATCATTATATTTCAGTTTGCCAACAGATTTTTTTTTTTTTTTTTTTTTTTTAAAGCATTTTATCTTTTTTACATCTTCCCTAGCTTGTGGGATGAAAATGGGGCTGCGAACATAACAGGACACCTGCAGCTACTTTATTATCTTCTAGTTTCCTCTCTACAGCTGAAGCTTGTGAATCCTCCGGTGATAGATTAGACCGGCATTCCCTGTAAAAGCTTTGTCCCATCCAGAGCATTAAAATGGCTTCTCTCCAGAGTGAAATTTCTGCTGGTGTGTGAGAAGGTTTGACTTCACCGCAAAAGCTTTATCACATTCAGAACACCGATATGGCTTCTCTCCAGTGTGAATCCTCCGGTGTGTGATAAGATCTGTCTTCTTCGTAAAAGCTTTATTACATTCTAAACATAGATAGGGTTTCTCTCCGGTGTGAACCCTGTGGTGTGCTATAAGATCTGACTTCTGCGCAAAACCTTTGTCACATTCTAAACACTGATATGGCTTCTCTCCAGTGTGAATCCTCTGGTGTGCTATAAGTATTGACTTCTGTGTAAAAGATTTGTCACATTCAGAACACTGATATGGTTTCTCACCAGTGTGAATCAGCTGGTGTCTGGTAAGGTTTGACTTCACTGTGAAAGCTGTGTCACATTCTGAACACTGATATGGCTTCTCTCCAGTGTGAATCCTCTGGTGTCTAAAAAGCTTTGCCTTCTCTATAAAAGCTTTGCCACACTCAGAACACCGATATGGCTTCTCTCCAGTGTGAATCCTCTCATGTAGAAGGAGCTTTGCCTTCTTTATAAAAGCTTTACTACATTCAGAACACTGATATGGCTTCTCCCCAGTGTGAATCCTCTGGTGTCTGATAAATTCTAACTTCTTCCTAAAGGCTTTGTCACATTCAGAACAATGATATGGCTTCTTCCCAGTGTGAACATCCTGGTGTGTGACACTTTTTGTATTCATTGTACAACGTTTGTCACATTCCAGACAAGAAGTAGCTTCTGAAATGACTTATGTCTTGTGTCCTGTATGAATCCTCCAGTAAACTGCAATAAAGACTTTCAGACACCCATGGAGCTCATTTCACTTGTGACTTTGTTGTATTGATGAAGTTCAACATGACCGAAAACATCATGAATCCACCTGTACAAAAAAAAAAAAAAATAAGTCAGAATTCTACAAAAAGGTTTGAATAAAGTTGCATTTTAACATTAATTAATAAATAGATCTAATTATATAGAAACAATATTATAAAGGTTTGTATTTTATTTTATTGAGTTCACTATATTATTCCCATTGGCTGGTAAAATTGACATTTTATTACAATTTCCAGCAGGAGAATCTCATTCTTTGTTCTAATTCAGAGAAATGTGCTGCATACTGATAGGTGAATGTGTTTGGGTTCAATTTGCAGGTACGTTTGACGAGTGCATCTAAAAATCCAAAAATTCCAGACTTAGATACAAACCCCATTGAAATCAATAGGAGGCAAATCTTGAAAATCAATTCTCTCCATTTTCAAAGCGAATAATATTTCCCAATTATCTTCATTGCACTTCAGGGATGCAGTGAGATCTTCCATTCCTTTGATCTCATTAACCCTGGAAATCCAGACACACTGTAGGGGATCTCCATTTCAGTGGGATAGAAGATCTCACCACATTTAGAAGGTGAATGAGCAGCGATTTTGTTTTTTTATATCAGGTCTTAGAAAGGAGGGTCATGTGTAAAGAAAAGCAGAAGGGTCATCTTCCAGGGCCATTGTGGTTAGATGTTTGGCAAGTCTTTGAATTTCTTTCCAAAAAGGGTGCAACAGCGAACATTCCCAGAATACATGGAATAGAACCCCCCTGGCATTATTGAACCTCCAGTAAGTTGGAGAGTGAAACGGAACCGGACCCTGACCCTGACTGCACTTGGCTGCTTCTGTTAAAATTCCCGCTTCCCCGTCCGAACACTGACCACAGACACCACAGCAGACCATACAAGCCTAGACAACACCAAAGTTGAAGTAAACCAGGAGGTAGACTAGTTTAACACAGATACAAGATATATACATTCAAGGGAACAACCCCCCCTCCCTGCATAATGACACAGGTCGGGGCAATCTACATTTAGTAACAAGAGGCACACCAGCAGACAGTCCCATCAGGAGGGCTGCTGGAGACCCCCCCCACCAAGCCAATACACAAACACATACATCCCATAATAGTTTGCTCCCAAGCAAGACACACCACAATGGGATACAACCACATGGCATTAAACAATCAACAACCCCCCACCCCAATATTAGGACATATCACCCTGTACCCCTAACAGGCACAGGGTGACACACATAATAGGGATATGGGGAGCTGAGACAGGGGTCTCCCCACCTCTCCAATGTGAGCTGTGTTCCATGGGCCCCCCACCCAAAGTGACTTCTGTCACAGAGAGGTTTTCAGGGAAAATTGTGCATAAAAAAAGTGATGACTGCATGCCATCTGGTCAACATTTTATATATGGTCTCCTGGACACTGCTGGAAATGAAGGATTTGTGAGCAAAGAATAGGAAATGATCCCTATCTGACTGGGTGAATGTATGATCCAAATATATCTTTTCCCATTTCAGAAAGACTGGGGTTGCAAAATCTTTGTTTCAATTGTTATGGAAATGGAAGGATATGTAAAGGGTGTCACCTATTGTTAGGTTCCTATCGGTGGTAGCCTCTAGCGTTCCACAGACCGGAATCCCCCAAGGCATGGAATCTAAGTCCCAACCTGCTTGTTCACCAGGGCCCCTGATGGTGGGGATGGACCTGGAGCATGCCAAAGACCAGGTTGCGGCCCCTGGGTTCACCCAGCTGCGGTAGAAGCACCACTGGAGGTGTATAGCAGGTGAAAGCCTGATGTGAGGAGGTAAAAAGAGCAGTGTTGGGCAGGCCGGGTCGGTAACAGTAGAGGCAGCGTAGTACAAAATCAGTAGGCAGAAGGATAAACAGGTCACAAGCCGGGTTCAGTAGCAGATCAGAACGTGCAGGGTTAAGCAGGAGAATGGTCAGACAAGCCAGGGATCAGAACAGGAGACAGACAGCAAATCAGGGTAAGGCAGGGTCGGCAACAAGACAATCTACAACACAGGAACTCAGGATACAGGTAAGACCATACGGCAACTAGACACAGCCCTGACCTGTTTTAAATAGGGTGCCCTGGATTGGTGTCAGGCGCGCTTCCGCGATCGCGAGCGCCGCTGCAATTGCGGGTGCCCAGGTCCCACCGCACATGCACAAACCCATGCGCGATCGTGGCCCCTGACATTGCCCCCCCCCCTTACGGGAAGCCTCCGGATGCCCACCCTATTCCTCCTTTGAGGCTGGTTAATGAAAGAACTCCTGCATCAATCTGGGAGCATGGACATTCTGAGCAGGTTCCCACGAATTCTCCTCTGGCCCATAGCCTTTCCACTTGATCAGGTATTGCACATGACCACACCCCTTTTCCTGCAATCCAAAATTGCCTCTACCTTGAATTCTTCCTTCCCGTTGATATCTATGGCCTCCGGAGGTCTAGATCTGTGGTTTAAAAAAGGGTCTAGAACTGCAGGTTTTCGCAACGACCCGTGGAAAACCGGATGTGTCTTGAGGGATTTGGGGAGAGCCAATTTAAATGCCACTTCATTAACCTTACGTTCTACTTGGAAGAGTCCCACAAATTTGGGTGCCAATTTCCTTGATGGACATGTCAGTTTTAGGTTGGCTGTTGACAACCAAACCCGATCTCCGGGGTGTATGATCAATTCCCCCTTTCTCCTCCTGTCACAGAATTTTTTACTGTCTTCCTGGGCTCTAGCCATTGTTTCCTGTAATAACTTGTTATTGGTAGTAAAGAATTTTAAGGCGTCCTGGGCTGCAGGGACTGAGTTTTCTGGAACCAGGTCTGGCAGGAAGGTAGGGTGGAAGAATGGGGATTGGTTGGTGGTGGAATGATTCGCATTATTATATGCAAATTCTGCCATTGGTAGAAGTGCCAGCCAGTCATCCTGTAGGAATGATGTATAACATCTCAGACATTGCTTGAGTGTCTGATTAGTCCGCTCTGTCTGCCCGTTAGTCTGTGGGTGATATGCAGAAGAAAAAGATAACAATCTCCAACCCCTCACATAGCGCCTTCCAGAATTTGGACGTGAATTGCACCCCGCTGTCCGAGACAATATTTTTTGGCACTCCGTGAAGCCTCACAATCTCTTTAATAAAAACTTGGGCCATTTCGGAAGCAGATGGCATCTTTGCTAGTGGAAGGAAGTGGGCCATTTTAGAAAGGCGATCTACCACTACAAAGATCATGGTGTGATCTTGCAAGGGTGGCAATTCTACAATAAAGTCTAAGGAGATCATACTCCAGGGTCGGTCAGGTATTGGTAAAGGTCTCAACAGGCCCCAAGCCCTGTCTCTGGTGGGTTTATTCCAGTTGCAGATGGGGCAAGACCTCACGTACGCTTCACAATCCTTGGCCATATTTGGCCACCAAAATGTGCCTCGTGCCAATTCTAAAGTCTTATGTATACCAAAATGACCCGCTAGTGGATGGTCGTGGCAATAGCCTAAAACCAGGGACTGGGCCTCCTTGGGTACCAAGATCTGTCCCCCCTCCAGAAAAGACCTTCCTTGCTCTGCAGTGAGGTCCCGGTAGATCAGGAAACCGGTGGAAGCGGCCTGCAGCTTGGATAACAGCTCAGACTGCAGAAATAGGAAGCTACCTGCTGGCAAAATGGTATCCGATTGGGGTGTCTCTCTAGGGTCCTCAAACATCCGGGAAAGAGCATCTGGTTTAGTATTTTTAGACCCAGGACGGTATGTGATATGGAGACTAAACCTCGCAAAGAACAGTGCCCATCTGGCCTGGCGTGGACGGAGGCGTTTAGCTGTCTTCAGGTATTCAAGGTTTTTATGGTCGGTATAGGCCAGAATGGGATATAGGGCTCCCTCCAACAGATATCGCCATTCCTCCAGAGCTGCCTTAATGGCCAACAATTCCCGATCTCCAATATAATAGTTTCTTTCCGAAGGGGAGAGCTTCCTAGAAAAGAAAGCCACCAGATGCATTAGCTCCTTGGTCCCTACTCTCTGTGAAAACACTGCTCCTACAGCCACTTCTGATGCGTCTACCTCTAGTATATATGGCAATGATGCATCAGGGTGGCTCAGAATGGGAGCCGTTGTGAACAGCTTCTTCAATGCCTCAAAAGCAGCCTGTGCTGCTGGGGTCCATTGGAAACGTACCCCCACCTTGGTGAGCTGGGTGATGGGTGCTACCAGGCCTGAAAAGTTCTTTATAAACTTTCTATAAAAATTGGCGAACCCAATAAACCTCTGAACTCCCTTCTTATCTGTGGGGGCAGGCCATTCCAAAATGGCCGAGATTTTCTGAGGGTCCATAGCGATCCCCATGGTGGAGATAATTAGACCTAAAAATGAGATACTTTCCTGCTCAAAACAGCATTTTCTCGGCTTTAGCGTAGAGCCCATGCTGACGGAGTCATTCCAGCACGCTCCTGACATGTCCTCGATGCGCCTCCAGAAATGAGGAAAATATCAAAATGTTGTCTAGGTAGACGATCACAAAAATGTCAAGGAAATCTCTAAAAATGTAATTGATGAAGTTCTGGAAGGTGGCTAGCGCATTACACAACCCAAAAAGGCATAACTAGACACTCAAAATGCCCAAACCGAGTGTGAAAAGTCATTTTCCACTCGTCCCCCTCATGTATACGCACCAGGTTATAGGCACCCCTGAGATCAAGTTTAGAAAAAATCAACCTCTGAAACAACTCTGGGACCAAGGGAAGGGGGTAGCGGTTCTTGACCGTAATTTTATTGAGATCCCTATAGTCGACACAAGGTCTCAGGGATCGGTCCTTTTTTTCAACAAAAAAAATCCCTGCCCCGGCTGGTGATGTGGAAGGGCGGATAAATCCCTTTCGGAGGCTCTCATCAATGTATTCCTTCAGAGCCCCTAGCTCACGTTCTGACAGTGGGAAAATACGGCCGACAGGTAATTCAGAACCCGGGAGCAGATTAATGGGACAGTCATATGCCCGATGCGGGGAAGAACCTCTGCCCCCCGTGGACTAAACACATCAAGGAATTGATGATAGGCCACAGGTACAATTTGGGCCAACTCGGCATCAGGCCTCACAGCTAATAGGGTGGGTGTTTCCAGTGGCAACCTAGGTAAGCAATGTTCCTGGCAGTACAGTGAGGGAAACTGAATTGACCCGGTCTTCCAGTCAATGTGGGGGTCGTGAGCTCGTTGCCAGGGGAGCCCCAAAATAACTGGAAATGGGGGGATGCAATGGCATCCAAACGGAGAAGCTCCTGATGATGTCCTGCCACTGGGGTGTGCATAGGAGGGGTCTCCCGATCTACCGTCCCCGATTTTATTTGAGACCCATCGGCCAAGAAAATATTCAGGCCATGCTCTTTGGCGAGTAACGGTATCTGTTGCTGGTCAGCAAAACTGAGATCGACAAAGCAGCTACATGCCCCGGAGTCAATAATAGCCGTCACCTGTATGCTTCATCCGGGAAGCTGAAAAGACACAGGCACAGCCAAGTGCGTGGGGTAGCGGAAGAAATGGAAGAGAACTTACTGTATTTCTCAGGACAGGAGCGCACCATGTGGCCCGCTGCTCCGTAGTACAGACACAGATTGTTAGCTCGACATCTCTGTCGTTCCTCTGTAGAAAGGGAAGACCGCATCAGACCGAGCTGCATGGGCTCAGCCCCCTGTGACGACTCTGGACTCTGATTGCCGACACTGACCCTTGGCATGACTGGTACCCTTGGCAGCATCCATGAGGTTCTTGGCCCCTGGCTGGACATCTCCTGTCTTCTTTCCCGCAATCTGCGATTGATTTGGATGGCCCGGTCTATTAGGCCTTCCAAGGAATCAGGGACTCCTATTCTTGCCAACTCGTCTTTTAGCGGTTCTGATAATCCCAACCGGAATTGATGGCGTAAGGCTGCGTCATTCCAATGAGTGTCTCCACTCCAACGCCTGAACTCAGAAGCATAATCCTCCGCAGCCCGGCGTCCCTGTTGTAGGGAATAGAGGGCTGCCTCAGCCAAAGCAGCTCGATGCGGGTCCTCGTAAAGCTGTGCCATTGCCTTAAAGAAGGTGGCTACAGTGTTCAAATGTGGGTGGTGGGCCTCCATCAGGTGATAAGCCCATCCCTGGGGTTCACCCTGCAACAGGGATATAATAAATCCCACCTTCACCGATTCAGAAGAGAAGGTCCGGAGTTGCAGGTCAAAGTACAGCTGGCAGGAGTTCTGGAAAGCCCTGAATTTCCCTCGATCTCCATTGAACCGCTCAGGGGTTGGTACTCTTTGTTCTGGTGGAGGGATGGAAAATGCTGCTCCA